TAAAGAAGAGTGGTACATATATACACAATGGAATATTATTTAACCATAGAAAGAAAAGAACTCCTGCCATTTGCAGCAACATGTATGGATCTAGTGGGTATTATGCTCAGTGAAATAAGCCAGGCAGAGAAAGACGAATACCATATGACTTCACTTATTTGCGGAGTATAAAAACAAAGCAGAACAGAAGGAACAAAACAGCATTATGCTCATAGATCCTGAGAAGTGACTAGTGGTTACCAAGGGGGAGGGGAGTGGGTGAAGGGACTGTCAAACCACTGTGATGTACATTTGATGTAAAAAAAAAATGTTTATCTTTGTTTATTTTTATATTGTTTCAGGAGCTTTGAAAAGTTTAGATCATTGTTTCCCAAATTTGAAACTTATATGAACTTTCATGTGTGTCATTCTGGGGGAAAAATGTATTCTGTACACATGAAAGGGCATCAGAAAATTACCTTCTCTCTGCAGACAATTAATATTGTCTCCAAAATGTATACATTTAAAACTTTGCAAAATCTTCCTTTTCCTTGGGAGTTTGCTTAGTGGTCATCAATCATGTAAAAGCAGGTGACTTCTGGGCTTTCTCTGTTCCCTTCTGGAGAGACACCCAACCTTTATCGCAGCCCTGGCAGCCACAGAAGCCATGTCAAGCCTTCACATGAAGTCATTCTCCTGTCCTAAATCCAGTATCAATAAAAGCAGAAAGCTTAAGTGTATGGAAAAAGTAATATGCATGTGCTGTGGCTCTTACTGAATCTTTGAGCTATCTCTTCAAATCCCATCAATCTCAAGAGAGCCAATCTGTTAGTTTCGCATTTCGTGAACATATCAGTGTGGTATTTAGAGAAAAGGGACACACGTCCCATAACTACACTTAACAGTATTCACTATTGGAAGAAAAAGATGGGAGCTGCTTTTTAATTGTTTTTTCATTAAGTATATAGCAGTAATACACTCCAGGTTGAAAGGATTCAAAATATGTAGTCTTTGGCATGGGCGAATAGCCAGTATTTTTGGTCTTAAGGCAAATTTGCATATGTAGTATACCTAGCCTCATTTTTGTTATGCAGCTCATAACCAAATTAATGGGGTTTTCTCATTTGCACTTTTTTGTGCCTCAAAATGTATATATTAAGGTCCTACTTTATGTTTGGCCTCCAGGCGTGGAGGTTTAAGGTGAGCATATGCTTCCTGTAGTCAGTGTTTCAGCATGAGCTGGGGGAATCAGTTGGTGGAAGCATCCTGGGCATACGAGGCCTGGCTGCATGCACAGAGGCTCAGTGGACAGAGCAGCTGGGCTGCCCAGTGGGGTGGCCAGCAGGGTTCCTGAGGGGCTCTCTGCAGGCAGTGCCTGGGGAGCTCTGCCATCTGGTCTACTGCAGCCTTTCCAGGAGCCACCCCTGACCCTCCATCACATATCTTAGCATCAATCCAAGGAACTAGATTAATTTTCTTAAGGGTATTTAATTTACAAGTGTTTACCCTGAGTGGACTGAGAGGCTTTACTTTTGGCAAAAGTAGTGGTTCTTTACTTTGTGTGACCCTGTTGAGTCCTAGTGTGAATCTCTGAACCTGTCCCCTGCATACACGGTGACATGCCCATAACTTATGTGGTCCTGAACAGTGCTGTCAGGAAGCCAGACATAGGGCCCCTGGAAGCTGGCACAGGGCCCCAGCCTGAGTGCTGACAGGCTAAGGGTCATCGGGGAATGGGAGGTGGCAGGAAGGGCATCATGTAGTCAGGGCAGGGAGTCACTGGGTTGCTTATTCTCACCATGCATTCCTTATAAGATGTGTTTACTCTGCCTACTACAGTAAAAGCACCCTGCCTTTCTTGGTCTCCAGTTAAAAATATTTTTTTGGTAGTACATTGAATGCAAATAGTATTCAGGAGAAAAAAACCTCTGGTTTGCCATGTAGTTTAAAAATTGCTCTTCTTGACATTTTATTTTGGCCTATTGGTTAGTTCCAACCCCATCTTTGACCATAGGAATCCAAGCGGAATTCCAAACAGTTAGTAAATACTCTAACTGTACTTAGACACTGTGTAATGTTGTCATCTGTGGCCAGTTTCCATATTGCTCTCAGGTCTTATAAGCATCACTATATCAAATGGGGCTAATGAGTCATCATTCATACTTTTAAAACTGTTTCTAATTTTTGTTGTTTGATGCAAAATAAATGGAAATTACCATAAAGAAAAGCAAAAACCTCCAAAGTGGACTGGAGAATGACTCAGGGCCTAAAGAACAAATATATGTTAGATTATAGTGCAGATTCTAACCCATAATAATAGAAATTGTCACGGTCCATCTTACTATACCAATGCATCAGTAAACTATTTTAGCATGCAGAAATATGATACTTAGATTTAAGTAGGGGATGAATTAGGAAAACCTTCAAATGTGTGCAATATAAAGAAGGAAGTCCAGCATCTTAAACTATGTGGTAGGTAGAAAATTCTACTTTTTTTGTTGGAAATACCAAGATTTAAAGGTGCATGTGGCCCACAGCACACCAAGCCTGCAGGTAAATAAGTTGGCTGAGTCTCTCACTCTTGCCCATTCTCAAAAAAATGTGTGGTTTTCTCCTGAAGCAATTCATGGCATATGCAGAACCTCCAAGCTATTAGTTCAGAAAAAAATAACAATAAAGTAAAAAACAGTCTTATGAACTCAGAGCCCTTTGGTCTCCTCTCAGGACTCATCCTGCCTGGTACCTTTTGTTTCCCCAGAATTACTGTTTTGCTTCTGTGAGGTGCCATATCCTTGAACTGCTGGTCTGTCTTCCATACAGGAATCCTATCGTGTTTTACAGTCACTATGATATAAAGCGCTAAAGCCCATCTCAGTTTTATTCCACTCACACCACTCTCATTACATGGATGTGGGGCTGACACGCTGTGTTTTGTCTGGCCGAGTGCCTCAGTTTTCAAGCCAATCAGTGGACTCAGAGAGCGGTGGAGGATTTTTCTTGCAGAGTAATAACGCTAATCGGGGCGATGGCCCTGATGATTACCTGCAGTAATGGGGCTTGTTAAAATGCAGGATCTGAGGCCTCTCTCCCGACTCAATAAATCAGCACCTTTTGCCCAGATCTGCTGCGGCTCCTATGCACATTAGTGTTACCCCAGCCAGGCTCAGCTTTCCCCCAACACTGAGAAGGGAAGAGCCAGGCAGAGGTCCCTGCAGGCCAGCACCCACAACTGTCTGTGTAGGAAATAACAGTGATGGAAGATTTAAATAGCTAGCAAACTCCCATTTACTTTAAAGTAGCATGCAATCTTGGAAAAAAAATGCAAAATGTATTTTTATGAGAATGAACAGCCTTTTATGTAATTGCAAACTCATGCACTTTGGCGGGCTGTCTGTTACTTGGGATGTCAAGTTGCAGGGCAGTGCAATACCAGCAGTTGGGGCTGCGTGTGTGCAGAGCTGGTGGGAGTCTGGGTTCAGTCTCTCTTAGCCAGACTACACCCTATCCTAAAGATTTTCCTGACTTTGTCCCTGTGCTAGTGAAGGATGGTAAAGCCTCTCACTTCTGCAGACTGCCGTCCATGACCGCAGGGCAGACGGGGGAGGCCGGTGAGAGACCTGTAATTTGGGTGAAGATTTTTCCATATGTTGAACTGATAACCTGCCTTGAACTAACTTCTGTTTCCTTCCTTTCTAGATTTATACACATATCTAACCCCTTCTTTACTACGTGTTAGTTTTGTATGAGGAAACTAAAGTGGATAAATAATTTTACACGATAAAACTTTGGTCAATGCCTAAAGCATTGCATAACTTTCAGGGTTGTTGAAGTTTAAATTTCACAAATTAACTACTGCCATTACCTAGTTTTTTATAGCTAAGATTCGTAAATATTAAGGCTTAGATCCAGTAAAAGACAGTGATCTGAAAAGCCCAGAATCTGTCACTTTCTAACTGTTTCATGAATTTTCCTTCTCTCCCTTTTGGTTTTACAGAAGAAGAATCTGAAGAATATTCTAAAAAAGGAAATTTGTAAACCTGTATCAAGAGACAAATACCCTAGTATTTCCCAGGCATCTGTCAGTGTTTTACTACCTCATGATTAATTTTTTCTCTCAAGTTTGCTGTGTTCCCTAAAGTTCTTATGTTTTGACATCTGCTAGTACAAAGGGGTTGATTAATCTAGTTTTGGACTCAAATGAAGGAGGCCATTTTTTTTGTTATGTTATGTACATTTCTGACCTTGAAGAGAGAATCACATACTGGTTTTAAATAAATTCTCCTATTCTTCCCACAATGTTGTGTAGAAATTTGCTTTATTAAGTAGCATAAAAGACTGAGTATAAAAAGTAGAGTGAGAGTGTTTCTAGGATTTAGGGTAACAATTCTGAAGCCGCTGCAGCTCTGGACAATGTCTTATTTGTCATGAAAGGTCAGGGGCCCAGCACCCATCGCCTAGGTAAACGACTAAATTCAGCTTTTGGTGGTCGTTCATACGTGTATGGCAATGCAGAGGCATGCCATCTTTAGAGAAACCACACTGCAAGCAGGTAAGAATGTGGTGAATGAGTTGCTCTACCAGCACGATGCTCTCACGTCTCACTGGCCTCTGTTTTATAAGCTCATCCCGGTCCGGGATTACTTGTTTCCAGTCCTCCTCCTGCCTGTCAGTGAGGACCTGCCTCTGCTCGCAGGCCTCCATTCTTACCACATTTTCACTTACTCACAAATCAGCCATGATTCCTGTTCCTTGGAATCTCTAATAAATCAGGGACCTTTCCATTCAAAGAAACGGCTTTTCCCCCAGGCCTTACACATCCGTGTAAACACTGTGGGTCAAACCCCTTACAGGCGGCCTGAGACTGTAACAGGGCCAAAAGATTCAGGAACCTTTACTTCCTGAAATATCTATACTCTACGGGTCACATTTCTGTATTTTTAGCAATATTTTTCTAGTTAGCTTTGTTTACAGTGATTTTGCTCTTACATATTTCACATTTTAATCGGATTTTTCTTTTTTAGCTGTGTTTTGGGGTGATATTGCCTTAGATGATGAAGACTTAAATATCTTTCAAATTGATAGGACAATTGACCTTACACAGAACCCCTTTGGAAACCTTGGACATACCACAGGTATGGTTGATTATTTGATTCAATTTGCATTCATTTTGGAGAAAATATACTCTTCATATGCTGTAAATACTCTTTGAATCATTTTTCTGTGTCCCACTGATGAACTCTTATTTCCTGGACACAAATGAGTCTACTTAGATTTTGTTCATAGCTTTCATTTTATTAATTAATTAATTTAACACACATGTTGCAGCGTTTATCATGTACTAGGCCTAGTTTATGTGCTTTGCGGATATAAATTCTTGGAAATATAACAACTCCAGCTGACCAGTGTTGTGATTTACGAGTGAGAAGATTGAGGCTTGTAAGTCATATAGTTTGCCTGTTGTCACCGAGCCAGGAAGTAGCTGAGTCGGGAACAAGATTCAATTCTGAGAAAGGCCACAAACTTCATATTCTTAACATTATATCCAGATGCCTTCCATTTCAATATTGAGCTGCAAAATGTAAATTATTCTTAATTATAAGCAAATATTTAGAAAATTTCATATCTGTTTATCTACCTGTCTGTGATTTTTATAAAAACCCAGAAGACAATTTCAATTTTAGTGGTTTGAACATGTTTGAATTATACCTATATGAGACTTATAATATTTACAAGGTTATTTGGGATCTCATTTAAAAATGTTTTTAACTACCATTTAAAAAATCTTTACAATATCATGATATGATTTTTCTGTATTTTATTTTGGAGAAAAATTGCAATTAAAAGGTTAAAAATTATTTTTGTGCTTAAAGCTAAGAAATGTATTTGATATCATGCTTTTGATTTCATTGATCTCTTCACATCCAATACCATTTTTATTTTCTTCTGTTCTATGGAAAATAAAATATGTAATTCCTTTGTGATTTCTAACAGATGAATATGTTACAGGCTAAAAGACTTTTTATTGTGAGTTAATATCTCTGACCAATTTCTTTCTTTCACAACTTTTTATTACTGCAAATTTGAAATCTGTGGAAAAGGTGATAAGATAGAGTTAAGAAACACCAATGCAGAGGTATTCTTACCTCTTAGACCCAACAGTTGTTGACAGTGTTTATTGGTGTGCATGCAAAACCATATTTTGAAATTAATTCCAGACAGCATGGCATTTCAACATTAAGTAGGTTAGCACGTACTTTTTAAAGAAAAGGACATTATCCTATATCAGCAAAATACTGTTATATCTATGAAGTTTATATAAAATAATAAAGCCTAAGGAATTTATTTAAAATAATAACTCACATTACTTAGAAAGGTATGCTTTGGCCTTTGTTATAGGTAGTGACAGTTTTTTCTAAAGCATACACCAAATGTAGGAGGAAAACTGCTTTTCTGTGTAGTCACAGAAAAGACATCCCTACAGGATATGTTTACTGACAGACTTGCCCATTGCTGTTCACAATTAATACTGCCATGGGGACAGTGTATTCTAATGGCAACAGTAGGACAGCTCAACAAAATCCTAGATTTGCCCTGTTACATTTCAGTTTTTATAAAATTTTTTGTTAGTTTCAAATTTTATTCAGGTCATTTATTTAACCCATTGTCTCCCCATTGTACTGGGGGCATTCATTTTCTATGAGGAAAAGAAAATTAATACTATTTATTTTTATAATTTCATTTATAGTTAAGATCTGAAGTAGTTATAGTGGGAAGAAAAATATAATTTTAGATAAATAATAGCATAAAACAGATTATACTGCCAATCATAAATACATTTATTGTAAATATATATATAAAAGGTACACATGCTTGAAAGTAACCTTAACTGCTTAATTGAATTTCAAACAATGTAAAACCTTTATTTTATTTTTTTACTTACTGTCTTTTCCCTTTCTTGTTACTTTGTGCTGAATTTTCTTATTTCAAACTGTATAGTGTTTCTCACAAATATTTATTTATTTTGTATATTTTTATTTCATGTTTAGAATATGTGAGAAAATAACCACTTCTTTTATGAATTCCCTTTTTCTATTTTAATGAATTACCTACACAGAATTTTATTTCAATTGCTATAGGACATTTAAAGTTGATAAAACTGAAAACATTGCCTTTGATAATATTGAAACATTGTTTTTTCAATTCTATAATTACCCTTATTCTTATAATTACCTCAAATTAACTAAGACATTTCTTTTTTCTCATATTAGAATCCTTCTAAATCTATTTGTGTATGTTCTAGGCCTATCTAATATGAAGTACCATTGTTACGTAATAGTCATTTCAAATACATAGATGCCATCCTTTAAAAATGTTTCTTACAACTGCTTAGGAATGAATACATTTAGATATTACTTCATCTTTGTGATATGTTCAATGAAAAAATTTCAAAAATTTTTCTCAAGGGTGCACAGTAAAAATGTGAACATGTAACACAAATAGCTGAGCAGATTGCTAGTCATGGACAAGCACCCTATCTCATTTGCCTTATAAGGACTTAATTGATTTCTTCCTTTAAGAGGCTTATATGGTAATTTTTATTATTGTTTTTGTTTTTTATTAGCTTCAGTCTAAGTAATTAAGTTTTGGTATTAATTTGAAAGGGAATAAAAAGTGTTTGGAAAAAAATAGTGTGGAGTCTGAGAACAGTTTGTTGTCTATGGATTTTTGGTTGTCTTAGCCCACAGTGTGAATTGATCTGGTGTCACGGGTGATTATATTGGTTGTTTGCTCAATGAGATCTCGTTGTTATTTGTCTATTAAAAAATTCAAGGAGAAGAGAAAATAAGAGATAGAATTGGGAGAGCATTTTATTAAAGCCCTGAAATCCAAGGACTTGGATTCTGTTGCGTATTCTGCTTTCTGACTTAAGGTGGGAATCCACCTTTACTACTCTTTGTTGGCAATACTGTAAAAAAGAATATTTCCTTATCCTGACCCTCTACTCTATCTCTTGAGATTTAAAATCTTTACATCTTTGTTTATAAATTTTGCAAATTGTATAGTGAGACATTTCCCTGCTAAACATCCTTTTGGCTGCTCATCTTGTGACTTTTTTCTTAATATGTATTGTTGGCTTTTAGTTTTTTAAAATTAGTTATGGCTGCTAATTGTCAAATTTTCTTTGTATATTAAAAAAATATGATATGCTTTTAAAAATACTTCAAAATTGATCAAAGCTTTGGAGAAAACCTTGCACTCGAAATTTGGTCTTCTAATGTTTTTGTTTGCATTTGCTGATTTGGTGTCTTAAGGTATTTATTTTGCATTGGTGAAATAGCTGGAATACAACTGTCAGGGCAGAACAACTTGCTGTCATCCTATGTAATGTCCAGTATAACATATCCCGCATATGCCATGCCACAGCGAAGAAAAAGATTCAGATGACCCATGGATGACTCAACTGCCACGATGTCCAAATAAAGTCATTTAGGTTGCTCTCTGGATCTGTCCGAAACTCTTTTTTTTAGTTACCAAAATTTGTTATTGTAGAATTTTTACCCTCTTCTAAGACTTATGGGAATTCATGATTCTAACACTCTAATACTGCATTAAAAAAAGATGTCTAAAGAGAAATTAATGTAGCCTATTACTATTGTTTGTTTATAAGAACTTAGAAGTACAGTAAATTTTAACTTAATTATTTTCTTTTTTTCTTAAGGTGGATTTGGAGACCATGGTATGTCAAAGAAACGAGGAGCTCTCTACCAACTTATAGAAAGGATAAGAAGAATTGGCTCTGGTATATCAATGTTTAAAGTTGCAGACGCTTGACTTGATGTACAGTAAATATTATACTAATAGCAGTTCAGTTTTCCATTATGATGCAAAATATGTAAGATATATAGTGACAAAGAGGCCTTTATTCATTTTAACTTTGTTAATTGATATTTGATCTAAGTTTTTAGAAATTAATTTGGGACAATTGAAATATTTAACTTATTTTTAACTTCTCCTTATTAAAAAAGTAATACAATTTAATTTTATCATTGATATTTATTGCCAGTAAATTAGGTATTACATTAAGGTGTTTTGATTCAGCATGGAACTACATCTATTTTAATCAAATAAAAAAATGTTTGTTTTGAAATAAAATACACAAAGTAAATTGACAGACTGATTTGTTAGATTAAAAATAGTAGGAAATGTTTTTGACCCTTCCAAAAATAGACATAGAGAAACGGCCTTCTCGTTGCATAATTAATTATGATTTATAGTATTTAATTTATTAACTGCTATCTTTAGATTTTAGAGTTGTTTTATTAAAATGATATTAAAATGATACATGTTAGCAACATGGGAATTGAGAAGCATGCATTCAATGCTTGTTGTGTCTGTAGCATAAACAACAGTAATAAGATATTTATAACAACAGTGAGTGATGAATAAGAAAGAATGATAATGCAAATTTAGGAAAAACAAAAACAGTGAAAATACTATGAAAACCACCAAAAAAATTCATGATTACAGACTTGAAAGTGCTCCAGATAGGCTTCGTTGTATGCTGACCTGTTCACATGTGTACTGATCTCTAAATCATGCTGTAAAACTTCGGAACCCAGAAGAAATCCCATCTTTCAGGAAGGCATGTCTGTCTTAACATCATTTCATTTATTATATGTTGTGATATTCATGATTTTAGCCCATGCTATAGAACATCAATCCTGATTTAAAGGATTAAGGATCTAGCAGGGGGAAGAAATTTTGACTGTCATGGGGAATTTTTAAACAAAGCCCATTTTATCTTCTGGTGGTGAATTGGTAGTGATGTTGTAAATTATAATGCATAAAACCATTTTTCTGTGGCCTACAAGTCTGCCTGTCTTCTTTCTATCCACCACAGGTTGTTGTATGGAAGTTCACTAAAATTTGCTCATAGAGCATCAGGAAACAGTATTTTGACATGAAATACTTAAATATTTTAATGTTCTTTTCAAGTATGTAATATAAATGAAGTTTTTCTTGAATCATTTTTGACTTCAGGCATATTGACACAAATATGTAAGACGGTTTAACTTTTGTCCTTTAAGAGGAAGGATTCCTTGATCACGGACTTGTGTTTCACAGGATGTTTTAAATGTCGTGACAGGCTTGCGACAAAACAACACAGTTAAGGGCAAAGTACCTCTAAAATTCTCAGGGCAAAGTGAGAAAAACCGAGTTCCTAGAGCTGCTACATCAAGAACTGAAAGAATATGGCCTGGAGGCGTCATCCCTTATGTTATTGGAGGCAACTTCACTGGTAAGAGATACCCAGAGTGTCTGTTTTGATAAGGACAGAAAAATTATTGTACAGACTAATATAAATTTGTATATTTTTAAAGAATATTAATATGTAAAACATATTATTAAATCAACCTTGAGAAATAACCTGTTCCCCTTTAGATCGAACAGTTCTGAATGCCTTTGAAATTGAAAAGCATCTTTAGTCTTGAGATCTAAGAGCCCAAAGTACTACTCTGGGTTTTAAACTGAATTCCAAATGTGCCCATCAAATCTGGAAACTGGCTTCTCTTCCACCGAGGAAGAATGTGAGTCCCGTGTATGGAGCCCTGCATGGGTAGTGAGCTTGAACCTTCTGGCGACAGAGCTAGCATCCTTTTCTTTTTTTTTTTTTAAATTTTTTATTAAGGTATGATTGATATACACTCTATTGAACGTTTCACATGAAAAAACAACGTGGTTACTACATTTACCCATATTATCAAGTCCCCACCCATACCCCAATGCAGTCACTGTCCATCAGTGCAGCAACTTAGCATCCTTTTCTAATGGAGGCGTGAGGTTAGCCCCATATTCACTGGCTGACGACAGTGGTGGCATCTGAACTGCCCAGCTCCTGTCCTCCAGAGGAGCTGGCAGCAGGCAGTCCCCCTGGGGCAGCATGCATTTTACTAATGTGCTGTCCTTCCTCAGGCAGCCAGCGAGCCATGTTCAAGCAGGCCATGAGGCACTGGGAAAAGCACACGTGCGTGACCTTCATCGAAAGGAGCGACGAGGAGAGTTACATTGTCTTCACGTACAGGCCTTGTGGGTAAGTAGGACCAGACATGACTTCAGCCAGTTTGAAGGGAACAAATGCATAGGTAGGACTCACTTCTTCATGTTTGCTTAGGATTTTGCTTATGAGGAAGTGCGAATTTTTCACAAGTAAATGGCATATTTTAAATAAATGTGTTCTTTGATCACAGACCCTAAGTGTATCCCTGTCTCTTCAGTTAATTTTCCTTGTGTCCCACCTGTAACAGGGGTATGGGTCACATCCCACTCATCTGAGTAAGGGCTCTAATGTCCTTGCCTGGTGGATCTCTTGTACTCCCTCTAACATCTGTGCAGTGGGCTCTCTCACTATTCCCCTTGTCTGTGGATTCCATGCCTGTCCACGTCAGTGCTGGCCCATTCATGTCTTTGTCGTGCCACACGCAGTCTACTCCACACATGGTCTGTGCCACATGCAGTCTGCTGCACACATGGTCTGCTCCACACGTGGTCTACTCCAGTGGCTCTCATCTCCTCACCCAATCACCACCACTAGAATTATCTTCAAAACATACCAGTCAGAGCAAGATGCCACACTCCCTGATACTCTTCAGTGTTTCCTCCTATGGTGCTGTGTTCTAGATTCGCTGCCTATAGGACACCCAGCACACTGCCCTACCAGTAGATGATCAAGAGAGTACCCAACCTTTGCACATATGCTGAGGCACATTGTGTCTAATCCTACAGTAGGAGAATGAAAAAATTTGAAGGGGTAACGAAGAGCATGTCTTCAGTGATTTTGGAGATTGGACAGTGAAGTCATGCCTTCCTCAGAGATCCTTTTCTGTAGCTGCCCTATGGAAATCATACTCTTAAGATCTGTTGGTACATATGTGTGTGGCAGTTGGAGCAGTAGTGTTGCATTTTGGCACTCATTTTCCTGCTCATATCTACCTTGTATGATGTCCTAGTGACAGGAAGGGTGATACTCTACAGGAATGGGTCATTGGCCTGTTAATCATTCTAATCATTTTGTGGCTTCTCCATCTTATTTGGAATGACAATTATTAGCTATTATTGCATGAAACGGTTATTTTGTTATTATTATTATTATTTTGCTGTACTAATGCTGTATTTACATGTCATAAAAATTAATTTAGATTATTAAAGAGTCTGGCAATTGGTGTTGCATGAAATGCTGAGGGCCCCTAGAATAATATGTCAAGTCAAACCTTGCCACTCCTATGGAACTTGAGTTCTGCGTCCTTTTTCTCATAAGAGCTGTTGCACGTCATGTACTATGTTTAACTATATCAACAGTAAATCTCCATTGACTAGGAAGGTCTGTAAGGTGGCGCTGTTGATGGTATTGGTGACTTTTATCCCTCACCTTGGTTTAGCTCAACCACTAACTAGGCAGCTTTTAGTTCTTGCAGTTAAACAAAAGCTAAGATAATCTCCTCTGTATTTGTAGGGGGAGTCATTAGATATGGAACCACCTGTATCATTTAGAACCTTTTATTTCTCGCCTTGTTCTGCTATCATCAGCTTTTATTCAGTAAATATTTATTGAGTGCCTAATTCTGCATCAGGCCTTTGGTAGGTGGTAAAATAGTATTTTAAAAACCAAAAGTTTTGACATTTAGAGTTTTTGCCAGTTGTGTCAGAACTTTCTGTTCTAACACATACTTGTATTTATGCATGTTTGTATGTGTACATACGTTCGTGCATGTTTCTAGGCGTATGAAATCTTTGATCTACCTTCAACACAACATTTGCTTTAACCTCTCATCCTGTATTGGCAAAAGGTTTGAATGGAACTATAAATATTTTCCAAGGAATACCTATTCTTGTCAGTGGTATTTATTTATTTTACAAGATAATTAATTATTATCAACAAAATGTAAGATCATTTTATTAACAGAAGTTGTTTGACTTCTTTGTAAGGCTGAGATATATGTAACTGAAGCCATCGCCTTTGTTACATTGCTGAATGTCCTCTATTTTACATTTTGTCTCTCACCCTACTAGATCATTTCTAGAACAATCTCACTTTTTTCCTATCTGCTAATTTTCAATTACTTCCAGAAAACAACCAACCGAACAAATAAACTTAGGGTGGTTGAGCTATTTTCTAGATTTCGTGTTTTAAATTGTATTTAACTTTGGTCGTTTGATTATTCAGATTTTGACATCCTATACTTATTGAATCCTCATTTTGTGCCACCCTCTGCACTAACTTTTGGGACTACAAAAGCAAATATAAGATGTTTTCTTTCCATAAGAAGGTGATAGCTAGGCGGAAGAGGTGCGTGGGCCAGGATTCTTGTTTGCAGACAAGAGAGACTGATTAATGTAAGCAGAAAAAAACTTGTTGGAAGTCTATTAGATAATTTATGGCATCACGCTAATGGAAAAGTGGGCAGCCAGGCTGATGGGGGCTGTTAGGAAGGCTGGCCATAAGCATCTCATTTCTGTTTTGGATGCCCCACCAGCCACGGGTGTGTTGTCTCTCTCCTGCACCCATGACATCTTTTCTTCCAGCAATAGGTATTTATTTACTTAATTTTTTAATGAACCCCTTCCAGTTTCAATGTGATATATGACATGTAACACTACATGACTTTAAGGTATACATCCTCATGCTCTGATATCTACATCTACTGTGAAATGATCACCACAGTAAGTCTAGTTAATATCCATCACCTCACATGGTTGCAAAATTTTAATTTTATTGAGATGAGAATTTTTAGATCTGCTATCTTTGAAACTTTCAAATAAACAAAATGGTATTATTAACTGTGGTCACCAGGCTGCATGTGACTCCCAACCCCAGGACTTACTCATCTTATAACTGGAAGTTTGTCCTTTTGACCACCTGCACCAATTTTGCCCACTTGCCACTCCCAGGTCTGGCAACCCCCAATCTGTATCTGTTGAGCTCTACTATGTGCCAGACTATATTTTAGGGAATAGAGATACAACAATGAACAAAAGTGAATCATCTGTCCCCAAAGAGCCTACATTCTAGGGTGGGGAGGCAGAGAAAAAACACAAAGATAAGTGAAATATAAAATATCCTAGCAGGCCATTAGTTGTAGGACAAAGAGGAAAGCAGTGCAGATGGGATAGAAGAGCGTTTTCACAGGCTTGAAACAGGTGAGGCAGCTGTCTGGGAGGGCAAGAGTTCCTGTCAGAGGAACAGGAGTAGAAAGAGTCTCGAGCTAGAGAATTTGCATGCTCAGGGCACAGCAAGGGGACTGAGTGATCCCGGGGGCGTGAATGACAGGGTCTGTTGCAGGAGCTGAGGCTGTATGGTAAGTTGTGTGTGTGTGAAGATCACATAGGATCCGACAGGTTTGGAAGTACTTTAGTTTTCCACTGAGTAAACAAGAAAGCTTGTATGAGTCAGCGGAGGCAATGTGTCCATGGTAAAGGTGACACCTGCCCGTCTATCGCCTTTGCCTCCTTCAGAGCACCTGGCAGCGCTGCTTTCTCATTCTGTAGGGAATCTTTTACGTCCTTCACTGGACCTCATGTTCTCACACTGCCCCTTCTTGTGCTTTTTGGAGGGGTCTGTCCTTTCCCTTCATGGCCTTTACATCTTCCACCATACCACATAGTGATGCCATTTCAGTCACCAACAAATTTTTTACCTCTTCAACGGCACCTTGCAGCTGGTGTTCCTGTTCTGTCTCCTTGCCTATCAATGCCATTTCATTCTTCAACAGCAGTTCACAGATCATGTTCTTGTGCTGCCATTTCTTATGTCTCTTTCAGGAGCATATTCTTCTCATCTGTAGACTTTTAAAAATACTGTGAGAAGCAGCCAACCCACAGTTCCGCCTGCCTCACGGACACTCTGTTTCTCAAAGGCCTTACTTACTATACCAAGGGCCACCCCTACTGCCTCAGGTGTCACCTCCACCTGCCTCCAGTTCTGCGGTGGGGCCCAGCCCTCTAGGAAGGAAGCTACCTCAGAGCACATACTCACTGGGGAACAATCGACAGTCTCCCCATTCATAGGGGCAGCCTGCTGAAGCACCCCTCCCATAAGGGCAGCCTGTTCTTTTCCTTGGTCAACAGTGAATCCTGTCGACGTCACCAATTGTCTTGCCAGTGGGTTTCAGTCCTGGGGAAGTTCACTATGGATTCAGTGAGACTTGTTCTTGGGGGGAAAGTGTTTATTACTCAGCTTTGTTCTCCCGGCGACATGTTGAGCACTAGAATTACGTCTGCCTTCAACAGTCTGCAGGTCTGTAATCCTCCTTCATCTCTGTCTCTGCCCAAAGCACTGGGCAGAGCTCTTTATATAGTGACCCAGTCAATAATAGCTTATTGCCTCTGGGTGTGGAAGCAGTAGCCCAGCAGCAGGCCAGTTACATCATCAAGTAGTTCAGGTTCAGGTGAGGGTCCTGGACATAGGAACCTTCACTTTATCCACAAATACTATTTAAAAAAAACAACAACTTGGAGGCAAAAATGGAATTCCCTGATTTTTTCCTATCAGTTACCTCTCTTTTCTATGACTTATTTGTTAAGCCTAAGTAACTGTTACAATAGATTCATAAATGAAAAGTCAAATTAATTCATCTAAACTGGCATGGTGTAGGTTAGAATGCATTTAAAGCTTACAAAAATAATTGGGATGACAAATATTTGTATTTGTGAGCAATCAAAAGGACTATTAATGTACTCTGAAAATTGAAATTAGTGGAAATCCTTTTAGTTATTTGGGCAATTAATTTTTGGTCATTTCCTCTTAATTTAACAAGTGAGGAAAGGTGTTGGCATCTGGTGCATCATGATTCCTCACTATTCAAGACCAATTATTTACAATCCTCTTGCTGTCTGGAGGTGTGGTCCTGTAGAGAAGCTATTTTAGTGTAAGTCCTAATTATTGATACTGTAGGTATAATTTTATTTATATTTGTAACTAATTATCACATTATTATACTGTTTAAAACATCATAAAATGAGTATGCCCATGTGCCCACCTTGCACATGCGTATGCATTCTCATACACAAACATGCACTTGTGCACACATGCATGCAAAATGAGTCAATGGAACTTCTGTATTTTAGGTAGAAAAACATCACTGGATATATAGAAATAACAATAGATTGAGGAAAATTTACAGAAAGATGTGGATGTTTCACATTCCACTAGTGCAAGAGATACTTTCAGAAGGTGAAATAGCAGCACACACTTCAGTTTTAGCCAGACCACTTGACATATTCATAATATAATTCTATCAGGAGATTTTTTCTTCCCTCATTAGCCATTTGCCTTAGATAATTCACCTTTTGAAACTAATTTTTCTCAACTGACTTCTTCTTTTAAAGGTTTTCTTTAAAAAAAATTCTTCCGTGAGTAGGAAGAGTAATTCCTTCTCTGATTAATCAGCATCCTCTATAAATAAATTTAATTGTGTTTTTCTTAATAAGAAAAAAATACTTTGTTTTTATATTTAATACTGAAATAATGGATTATTGCCAAATAGCCATATTGACAAAGTAGTTACCTAAATAATTTAGATATTATGAGAATAAAAAGTATATTAGAAATATTAGTTAGTTGATAAGTCTTGAGTTTATATGTATAATAGCAAATTAATCATCATAAGTATTTTATTTTCTGGTATCTTCTGGACATGTCTAAAAATGATTTAAGGTCTATCTTCTAATACATAAGTTAGTATTACAAAATCACTTCTAGTGATTATTTGGAGACTTTGTGGTATATAAATTTACCAGGACACTGGAAGTTATCCATGTTTATTAACAAAAGGCTATTCTTCCTCCAAATATGTTGGACTTTATAGTTCATAACAATTCTTTACAAAAGTTTCCCCATACTGTAATTTATCCACACCATCTCCTTTTTCTACTTCATTCTAGATGCTGTTCCTATGTAGGTCGGCGGGGAAATGGACCTCAGGCAATCTCTATTGGCAAGAATTGTGATAAATTTGGAATTGTTGTTCATGAATTAGGTCACGTGATAGGCTTTTGGCATGAACACACACGACCAGACCGAGATAACCACGTGACCATCATAAGGGAAAACATCCAACCAGGTGAGAGGCTTCAGATGTGCTGGGTTTAAGGTTGACTGTATAACTTTTACTCATATTTATACTATTTATTATTTAACTTCTTAAAAAGTGTGAACTGATTTTATTTTTTGATATGGTAGAATGAGTATTTTCCTTGTTTAAAAAAATTATCGACAATAGTGTTCTCGTTTTTGCTTTTCCTTCAGACCAAATGATCTCACATGCTTTTTTAGGCTTGCTTTTCTTCTTAAGATTTAGCTGTTTTATTTCTAAGCTTCTGTACTGTCCAAGTTGGATGTAGGCTGTTGAATCATAAGTTAATATTATTAAATGGTTCTCTTTTAAAAGCACTTTCTATACTTAGCTCTATAATTTATGAGGTAGGAATTTAGAAAGGGTCCAGAGTTTGCCATGAAACGTCCTGCTACCACAGGAATCTATATTATACCAGCAACAATTTCCGGAGAAAACTCCAGGGAAATGAGTCATTTCCAAGATAGTCTAAATAGTTTATTTGAAATGTCCTCTTAAACTTGACTGCCCTAAAGACAAATTCTTAAGAGTATTTTCTGTATTTGGATTATAATATTTAATTAAAATTTAATATTCTCTGGAAGTTGATGTATGATGATAGCCTCATTTTAAGGATCTCATTTGTTTTAACTTTCACAAATTCATAAAGATCAGTTCATTTCAATTGCCAAAAGAAAATTCCATTGTTTGCAACTGTCCTGTAAGGTAGCATGTGTTCCAAGCATAAGCAAAGCAAAAATGTGTCTTTATTTCCTTATTCATGGCCAGTTTTAATTTACAAACATTGAATTCCTTAGAATTTCCTGTAATTAACAGCATTAATCTATTTATTTGCTCATCACCGATTTCCATGTTTGTGATTTATAGAGGTATTATTGGATTTGGAATTGCCGTCCTGAACAATACAAAGCAGGGTGTGGGGCATGTGCATGCATACAAATGATTGTACATGGGTGAGAAAAGTCGCTATACTCTTGTGTTGAGAATAGCACGGAGTCCCAGGAAGGTGTGACAAAATGTGCCCTCTTGAGTCAAGGGGGATGTCATCAAGAACCTGAAATTTAGAAATTTTAAGTTCACAGAAGAGTGATAGAACTTCTAAGTTGGAAGACATAATGCCAAAGATACAATTAGAGAAAACTGAATCATTTTTATTTGCCCATTTTGGCTACATGGTAAATTACAAGTAGGATATTAGGGAGATTAGATCATAGGGGAACTTCTCTATGATGCTAGGGGACTTAGAATAGTATCCTTTAGCTATTGGAGAATAATTGAAGGATTGAAAGTAGAGCAGGTTCAGATTAAAAAAATAAAACAATTCTTCCATGGGATCATTGACTGATAATGGGGAAGTGTGGGTGGGAAAGATGAGGCACAAGTCATGGAAATCTATTCGAACTTTAAATAAGTAGTTTATGAGACAAATAAGTCCTCAGTTAAGGTAACTCAGCATGGCAGCACAGAATCCTGAACTAGCCTTCCACAGACACACCAATCTCTAGCTATATATGGAATACTTTCCTCTGAAAAAGTCCCAACAGCTAGATGAACAGTGTCTCTACAACAAAGAATTGCATTGAGATGGCATACCACACTGTCTTTTGATGAACCTTCATCAGTTCAATCTTTTCCTTAGGGGTCATTGATGACACGGCTGCCAGCTCCTATGCCATTACTGTGGACCACTCAAACACCTGTTTGGGTGGATCAATGGCCCCTCAATAAAGAAAAACTGGTAGCCTTACACACATTAGTTCAAGAACAGCTTCAACTAGATAGATTGGAATTTTCCACAAGCCCGTGGAATTCCCCTGTATTTGTTATAAAAAAGAAGTCAGGAAACTGGAGACTCTTAGATGACTTAAGACAAATTAATGCAGTCCTTAAACCTATGGGACCTTTACCACAAGGTCTCCCTTTTCTGGCTATGATTCCAAAGGACTGGAACATGGCTATCATTGATCTTAAAGATTGTTTTTTTACAATTCTTTTAGCCATAACAGACAGGGAAAAGTGTGCTTTCACTGTCCCTTCCTTAAACATGCAAGCCCCTTTCAGAAAGATTTCAATGGAAAGTACTTCCTCAAGGAATGTTAAAGAGCTCTACAATTTGTCAAAATTATGTGCATAGGGGACTCAATACACAATAATAAATCAACACCAAGCTTAACTCTCAACAGTCTCCAATCTTCTGGAGCATGACGTTCCCACATGGTGGACAATGGGGAACAAGTTCTTACTTACATAGTGAACAATGCAAGAGCAGTCATATCACAGAAACTGTTTTGGTCTTGATCATGCATCATGAATTATAAATAATCAAGTCAGATATGATTATTCATTCTATTTCTATACTTGATTTATATGTCAATCCCACAAGAATATATAGCAAATGTTAACAAACTAAAGAGAGAAATTGATGCCAATACAATCACATTGGGGGTCTTTAACACCCCACTTATACCAATGCACAGATCATTCAAACAGAAAATCAATAAGGAAACATTGGCCATAAATGACACATTGGACTAGATAGACTTAACAGATATATAGCATTTCATCCAAAAGTTGTTGAATGCACATTCTTTTCAAATGCATATAGAACACTCACCAGGACAGATCACATGTTAGTCCACAAAATAAGTCTTAATAAATTCAAGAATATTGAAATCATATTAAGAATCTTTCCTGAACACAACTGTGAAACTAGAAATCAATTACAAGAATAGAACTGGAAAAAACATAAATGTGGAGACTAAACAACATGCTACTGAATAACCAATGACTTATAGAAGGAATCAAAGGACAAATAAAAAACACTTAGAGACAAATGAAAGCTGAAACACAACATACCAAAATCTATGGAATACAGCAAAAAGCAGTTTGTAAGAAGGAACTTCATAGCCATATCTAGAAACAAGAAACAACTCAAATAAACGATATAACTTCACATCTAAAGTAACTAGAAAAAACAAAACAAAACTCAAGGTTAATAAATGGAAGGAAACAAAGATCAGAGTAGAAATAAATGAAATAGAGGCTGAATAGTCAATAGAAAAATAAATGAAACAAAGAGCTGGTTCTTTGAAAAGATTAGCAAAAATTGACAAACTTTAAGCTAGACTTAAAAAGAAAAAAAGCAAGAAGGTGAAAATAAAATCAAATGAAAGAGAAGTTACAGTTGATAGTACAGAAATCCAAAGGATCATAAGAAACTACTAGGAACACTTATATGCTAACAAATCAGAGAGTCTAGAGAAAATGGATAAATTTCCGGAAACATACAATTTTCCAAGGCTAAATCATGAAGAAATAGAAATCTGAATAAACTAAGTACTAGTAAAGAGATTGTTTATTTGGGAGATTTTTGATTACTGATTCAAATAGTCCAGAAACAGATGGCTTCCCTGTTGAATTCTACTAAATACTCAAAGATTTAACACATCCTTCTCTAATTCTTCCAAAAAATTGAAGAGGAGGGAATGTTTCAAAATTCATTTATAAGGCCAGCATTAACCTGAGAGCCAAACCATCAAGGACACCACACAAAAAGATAAACTTACAAGTCAATATTACTGATGAACACAGATACAAAAACACTCAACACAATATTAACGAATGGAATTCAAGAGTACATTAAAAAGATTATATACCATGATCAAATGGGATTCATTCTGGGGATGCAAGGATGGTTCAACATCCACAAATCAATCCTTGTGGTACACTACAATAAAATAAAATATAAAAATCATATTGTCATCTCAAGTAGATGCAGAAAAGCACTTGACAAAATTCAAAGTCCATTTAAGATAAGATCTCTCAAAAAGTGGATATAAGGGGAATGTACATCAACATAATAAAGGCCATATATGACAAACCCACAGCTAATGCCATTCCCAATGGTGAAAAGGTGAAATGAAAGCTTTTCTTGTAAGATTAGGAACAAATCAAGTATTTGTCACTTTTTTTCAACATAGTATTGGAAGTCCTAGTCACAGCAATTAGGCATGAAGAAAAAGAAAAGAATACAAATCAAAAAGTAAATTGTCACTATTTGCAGATGACATGCTACCATATGTAGAAAACCATGAGGACTGCACCAAAAAAGTTTTAGAGCTAATTAATTAATTCAATAAAATTTCAGGATGCAAAATTAATGTACAAAAATATGTTGCCTTTCTATACACTAATAACAAATTACAGAAAGAGAAATTGAGAAAAATAATCCCATTTACAATTGCATTATAAAGAATACCTAGGAATAAATTTAACTAAGAAGATGAAAGACCTGAACTGTGAAAACTGTAAGACATTGATAAAAGAAATTGAAAGAAGACACAAATAAATGGGAAAATGTTCTGTGTTTGTGGATTGGAAAAATTAATATTATAATGTCTGTATCATCCAAAGCAATCTACATTGTCAATGCAATCTTATCAAAATTCTAATGACATTTTTCACAGAGCCAAAAGAAATAATTGTAAAATTTATATGGAACCACAAAAGACCACAAATAGCTAAAGAAATTTGTGAAAGAGCAAAGCCAGAGATACAATGTTTTCTGATTTCAAACAATAGTAAAAAAGTATCATCATCAAAACACTACTGAATTGGCATAAAAACAGGCATATAGATCAGTGGACTAGAATAGAGAGAGCCCAGAAAGAAACCTACACATATATGGCCAATTAATTTATGATTAAAGAGGCAAGAATATACAATGGGTAGAAAACAGTCTCTTCAATAAATGGCGCTAGGAAAGTTGGATAGCTACATGCAAGAAAATGAAACTAAATCATTATCTTGCATCATTAATGAAAAAGGAACTCAAACTGGATTAAAGACCTAATTGTAAGATCTAAAAACCATAAAACTCCTAGAAGAAAACACAGGTGGTGAGCTCCTGGTCACTGGTCCTAACAATTGGTTATTTTGGATCTTATTCCAAAGGCAAGGGCAATAAAAACAAAAATGAACAAATAGGATGACATCAACCTGAGAAGCTGGATAGTGAAGGAAACATCAACAAAATGAAAAAGCAACTTACTGAATGGTAGAAGATATTTGCAAATGATTTATCTGATAGGGGGTTAATATCCAAAAGACATAAAGAATCATACAACTCAATAAAATAAAACAATCCAATTAAAAATTGGGCAAAGGAACCAAATAGAAATACAGGTGGGGAACAGGCACATGAAAAGATGCTCCACATTGCTAATCATCCAGGAAATGTAAATCAAAACCACAAGATATCACCTTACTCCTGTCAGAAGCTTTATCAACAGGACAAGAAATGACCTGTTTTGGGGAGGATGTTGAGGAAAGAGAGCTCTCATACATTATTGGTGGGAATGTTAAGCTGGTGCAGTCACTATGGAAAATAGTATGAAGTTCCTCCAAAAATTAAAAATAGAACTACCAAATGATCAAGCAAACACAAGTTCAAAAAGATACATGCACTTTCATGTTTATTGCAGCATTATTTGCAGTAGCTAAGATACGGAAGCAGCCTCAGTGTCCATCAATAGGTCAATGGATAGAGAAGATGTGATACATATGCACAATGGAATATTATTCAGACATTTAAAAAAAAGACATTTTGCCTTTTGCAACAACATGAATGGACCTAGAGGGCATTATGCTAAGTGAAATAAATCAGAGCAAGGCAAATACAGAGAAAGTATGATTTTTACTTAGGAGTGCAATCTAGAAATAAATAAAACAAAACAAAACAAACACAGATTCACAGAGACAGAGAACAGAGTGGTGGTTGCCAGAGGAGAGGAGGCTTGGGGGCACTTCTAGTTGGTGAAGGGGATCAAGAGGTACAAATTTCCACTTATAAAAAGAATGCCTTTAAATATATTGTACAGCAAGGGGAATATAATCAGCATTATTATATTAACTCTGTATGGTGACAGACAGTAACTGGACTTACTGTGGTGTCCAGTTACCAAGGTACACAAATGTTTAATCACTATGCTACACACCTGAAATGACTATACTGCTGTATGTCAATTGTGCATCACTGAAAAGAATGGTGAAATAATCTGCAGTGTTGAGTGTCAGAGAAAAATAAATAAAATATATACTGCCAATACAGAAGACTAATGCTTGAGAATATGTTCATCTTTTACTTTATATTATTAGGAATGAAAGAAAGAGGGGGTAATATTTCTGAAAATTATCTCAATTACCAATTCATTGAGAACAAGTTGGCTATGACCACAGCTGTTTCCTTTATTATGTAGAGAAAACGTTTTAAAGGAAGTAATTTTCAAGCATGATTCTTGCTCTGGTTCAACATAAATAAGTGTGCAAAACAAGCAGAAAGTGTATAAATATTACATAAATGTACAATACTTGACATTGTACTAAACAAATTAGGGCTATTCATACTTTGGTGACTCAACACTCAGGCCAATAGAAGAAATAATTTATTGAGTGAGATATCCTGAATATTTGGAACTCCTGTAGCAGAGCAATTCTAGAATGAAAGAGTTTGTGCTGGAGATTAATTTTCAACAGAGTTATGACTTACCGTAGCCTGGAAGCTCAAGACCAAGTGTTATTCAAGGGCAATGCCTAAGAAGTGCAGACTTTATCCTTATATTTGTATGCAAAATCAGTGAGTGTGATGGGAGCCAGATTGGTATGAGGATTGGATTATTTTAATCCACTTTAGAATAAACCTTCAAAAGGGAGGCTTCTCATTTGTTTATTGTTTTGTTGAGTTTCTCTGGGCCTCTGCATTTCTTCTCTCCTCCCTCTTCTGTGTGTTTCATTTTCTTTATTTGGATCATGTATGGCCATGTTCTGTTTAACCAGCACAAAACACTGTGTTATACACATGCTAAGTGCTCAGTTATAAGCATCAAAATGTATGACTGAAGTTGCTTCATGTTCCAGTTTCAGGAATTTTTATGAAACATTGTGTTTTAATTACAGAATATGTTCCCATATCATGCCTGAGGTTGAGCTCTGCAGCAGGTTTTAGATTAATATTTATAAAGTCAACTCCATAGCTTATGAAAACCTTGTCTTAGAATTGGACATGTTAAAATATACTTATTCTTCTGTATGAAGAATGGAGTGTAATGGTTGCTTCTGTAAGATGTTGTAAAGAATGCAGGGTATTTCCTGAGAATGGTTATAGTACAGATAGGCACACCAGAAATTTGTGGAGCATTTATTTCACATGGGCAGACCAACTTATAAAAACTACTTATTGTGTAAATTCAGTGAAAGATAGACTAAAACACTTTAGAGAGGGATTTGGGTTCCATAGCCTCAGGCTGGTTCTGTGTCCTTTATGCTCAAGTCTACACCAGATTTCCTTATGACATGTAGGAGAGATTATACTCAGCAGCATCATTTGATTTCTTTATTGCCTTTTGGAAAACTTTTTATTAATGTGACATTTTTATCTTTAGTAGTAATATGGCAGTTGTAGTAAAACCCTACTTAGATGAGTGTTGTGATAGTTCCATTTTGAGCTCCAACCTTGAATTTGGAATTCTAATAACTCACCTTTGATTTTAGGTCTTTCAAAAGTTTTTAAGTTATATAAAATGAGATACGCAAACAGCCAATTTAGGCTGCTTCAATTGTGAAAACTGAATCACTGAGACCTAAACTCTATGTGAGAAAATTCTCCACTTCTGGAGCCATTGATATAGATCTAAATATTTAATGCTTTGTTATTTTCAAATTTCAAGAAATAATATTACAATGCAGATGTTAACAGCCACTTAAGAAACTTCCTAAAATGATTTCTGGAAGTTAAAATAACAATTGTGAAAAGTAAATAAATAAATAAATAAATAAATAGAAATAAAGTCCTGAAGCATATTCTTGATCAAAAATGTCCTCTAGGTAGAGGTTGGGGTAGGATTCATCAAAGAGAATCTTGCCTCAGTTCTGAATGAAATTTGCTGTTATTGTTTTACCTTTGGTGACACACATGGCTGAAGCCTGCAGAGTTGGGTGTACATGCACATATTTTTATATTTTTCTCAATGTTTCATAGAAAGAATCTCAGAGGAAGATAATTTTTGTGGGTCTTGGCAGATGTAGTTGTAAGAGGAAGGTGGAAAACTTACTAGGTGAAATTGTAACTATCTTTCTTGCAGTACTGAGATTTTACATTAAGATTTTAGAGAAACAAATATGATGAATCCACATTTTTGCCAAAATGAACTTACTGATGAAACTCAGAAGTACTCTTAAATGTGAATTAAGCAAACACAGTGGCACTAGATGCATGGCTTTGCACATACCTGGGTGTTGTTGGGATGCAAATGGTGCTGGGATGCAAGTGCAGTCAGTGTGAAGGTCAGTGAAGAGCAGGTGCTGGTCTTGGAGTGGCTCTTCTCTTCTCTTCCCGGTGCATTAAAAGCTTCTCAAGTGTCTGTGTCGCTCTTAGGTCAAGAGTACAACTTTCTGAAGATGGAACCCGGGGAAGTGAACTCCCTTGGAGAGGGCTATGACTTTGACAGCATCATGCACTACGCCAGGAACACCTTCTCAAGGTTGGAGTCTCAGGTTATACCTCTTGACTTTTAATTCCTTTGCTCTGTAAGGCTCTCCACAAAGCTATGTGATTAGAACTATGGTCACTGTCAAATCCTGCTGCCCTTAAGTACAGATATACTTGACTGGCATTTAGTGCCAGCACCAGGCATTTGAGACTTTAAGAGAAAATTTTCACATTTCCTATCAGATATGTAAGTTCCAAGAATTGAATGGTATGAATTATTTGAACTATATTATATTCCTAAATCATGAAAAGAAGTTCAGTTAAAATGATTATCAAACCAATTAGCTTGTTAAATTGACAAAATAATATTTAATGAAAATTGGGCATTCACTAGTCAAATAGGGCTTCAGTTGTTAGGTTGGAGTGTTATATTCTATGTGTGACTTGTGTTTCAACTCTGTGTTTTCTATTTCTCAAACACTAGTTATACTCAAAAATAGCTTTATTAATTTAATTCTCAAAAGACATGTTAGGAAGATATTTAATTTCATATAATTTAAAATTTCACCATTAATTAACTTGAAAATTATTTCATTAATGATTGAATGCTTTTTAAAGAATGTAATGAATTTAGGTTTTAATTACTTCACTCCAAAGAGATATCACCAAGCAACTAGGCCCCAGGTAAGGAATTTGGAACTGTTAAGCCATTGAAGTCATCTGCTTTTCCTTTTTTTTTTATGCCCAATTTTACCCGCATATGTCTACTCCAACTGATTGTTTTTGCCCACTTATATCTATTTCACACTATTTCACAATTCATCAATATTTGTTTCTAAGACAAGGTCAGGAAGAAAACAATAAATTCAAATTATTTTCCATTTAAAAAAAATTATTGGTGGGAAGTAAGGAAGGATGTGTAAATGAAGTCTTAATGCTTGGATATATTTTTTAATCAAGCTATTTTGAAAAGACCAAACTTTAATATTGAGTGTTTTTTAAATAAATTATTTTCTTCTGAAACATGTACATATGTTTTACATGTATTGTTCAAATATAATAACTGTCCAAATACTTATTGTTTCTGGAGTTGACTTGTACCAATAGAAACACAACCGTAATGTTGGTCTGAAATTAAAGAGTTATAAAACTTCATTTTCAGGTCCATGCTGAGAGTTGAGTTTTCCTTAGAAACATGTGACAAATGGTGATTCGGGTCCCAGGTCAGCCAAGGCACTTCATGAATGCTGTTGAGTTATAGTACTTAGAACTAAATTGAGTTTTGATTCTTTGAAACACAGGAGGTATTGGAAAGTGGAGAAATAATTTATTCTTTCTGTCTTTAATGGATTATGAATCTATGCCAAAGCTTAGATACCTATTTCCCCTTATTCTGTATGTCTTTTGCATTTTTAAATTGCTTCTTTTCCGTAAACAATTCTACCCTTGCTTTCTAGTCCACATGCCTCCCCCCACTACACACACACACTCCTTGGTGTTGCATGCCAACCATTCTTGACATAATACTTTGTCTTAATGTTTCAAAATTTTTCTATTCAGCTCTCCTAATAATCTTATATTCCTCTAATAAAAGCTACCATATCTACCTGTTAGAAGAATTTATCTAATTCACATTATTTTATTGTTCATGTATTTAAAACTTGTGCATGTATTTAAAAAAATGAATTTCAAAAGATGAAATATTTGACACAGTTCTCAGATACCACCTCCAAAGTATTTGATATTTTGTGTGTGGTAAAAAACACACAACATAAAATTCACCCTGTTAGCCATTTTTAAGTGTACAGCTCAGTGGTGTTAAGTACATTCATATTGTTGTCAAACATCTCCAGAACTTTTTCATCCTGGAGAACTTAAAAACAACAGCTTTCCATCTTCCCCTTCCCTCTGTCCTTGGGAACCACCATTTCTCTTTGTTTCCATAAAATTGGCTACTTTCGATTCCTCATCAGGTGGAATCATGAGCATTTGTCCTCTTGTGACTGGCTTATTTCACTGGTCACAACATTCTCAAGGTCCATTGATGTTGCAGCAGAGAACAGGATTTCTTTCCGTATTAAGGCTGAATATGATTCCCTCGAATGTATTTATCACATTGTTTATCCCACCCATTGATGGACATTTGAGTTGCTTCCACTTCTTGGCTTTTGTGAATAGTATTGCTGTGAACATGGGTCTGGGAATACCTCCTCTGGACCCCACCTTCAGTTTTTAAAGGATGTATACCCAGAGGTGGGAGTGCTGGACCATAGGACAGTGCAATTTTTAAGTTTTTTGAGACCCTGTATAATGTGCTCTATAGTAGCTGCACCAGTTTATAGTCCCACCAGTCTTGCCCATGGTTCCAGTCACACTATAGCCTCACCAACATGTGTTACTTATGGATCTTTTTGTAATAATCACCATCCTAATGGGTGTGACATATTGTCTCATTTTGGTTTTGATTTGCATCTCTCTGATGATTAATGACATTGAGCATATTTTCATGTGCTTTCTGGCCATTTGTATATTATCTTTGGAGAAATGTCTATTCAAGTCTTTTGCCCATTTTTAAATCAGATGATTTGATTTTTTGTTGTTGAGTGGTAGGATTTCCATATATATTCTGGCTCTTTATCAGATATAGGATTTGCAGATGTTTTTTCTCCTTTTCACTCTATAGATTGTTTCCTTTGCTGTACTGAAGCATTTTAGTTTTGAATAATTCCCATTTGCCTTTGCTGCCTGTGCTTTGGTGTCACATCCAAGTCCAACATTGTGAAGGTTTGCCTCTGCGTTTTAAAGTTTCACGTCTTATGTTTAGGCCTTAAAATATTCTGAGTTGGTTTTGTATATGGCTTAGATAATGGTACAATACCATTCTTTTGCATATGAATATCCAGTTCTCCCAACGGTATTTATTGAAAAGGTTGTCTTTTCCCTATTGAATGGTCTTGACAGCCTATATGCACTAGGGTTTATTTCTGGGGTCGTTATTCTATCCCATGGGACCATTGGTCTGTCTTTATGCCAATATCACACTGATTTGATTACTTCAGTTTTGTGTTATGTTTTGAATCAGGAAGTGTGAGTCCTCCAATTTTGTTCTTCATTTCTTTTTTTTTTTTGGTTTATTTGAGGTCCTATCAGAATCCATATGAATATTAAGACTGTTTTTTTTTATCTTTGCAATAATTTTTATTGGATTTTGGTAAGGGTTGTGTTGAATCTGCAGATCATTTTGAGTAATGGGGACATCTTAACAAATTAAGTTGTCCAGTCCGTAAACATGGGAGGTTTTGCCAAAGTACCATGTTCTTTTTGATGCTATATTAAATGGAATTACTTTCTTAGTTTCTTTTTTGAATTGTTCATTATTATTATATAGAAATGCAACTGATTTTTATGTGTTGATTTTGAATCCTGCAGCTTTGTTGTATTCATTTATTAGTTCTAACAGTTGTTTTTGTTTTTTTTGTGTTTTTTTTGGTGGACTCTAGGATTTTCTGCATTTAAGATCATGTGATTTGAAAACAAAGATGATTTTTCCAATTTGGATATCTCTTACTTCTTTTTCTTGTCTGATTGCTCTGGCTACGACTTCTAATACCACGCTGAGTAGAGGTGGTGAGAGTGGACATCCTTGCCTTGCTCCTGATCTTAGAGGAAAACCTTTCAGTTTTTTGCCATTGAGTATAACATCGGCTATAGGCTTTTCTATAAGGTATTTAGTATGTTTAAGGTAGTTTCCTTCTATTCCTAGTTGATGGGGTGTCTTTATCATGGAAGGTGCTGATTTTTGTCAAATGCTTTTTCTGCATCAATTGGATGAACTTGTGGTTTTAGTCTTTCATTCTGTTATTGTATTATAGTTTCATAGATATTATAAGTTTTATAGTTTCTTCTGTTCTGAACCCACAGGGTCTATAAAAGTTTTAGTTGTTTTTATGACTGCAGCCCATCAGCAGATTTAGGTACTTGTGGGAGAAAAAGGGCTGGGCATATGGAGTTTTTATACACATGAGTAATTTGTAATGTTTGTGCTTGCCAACTGGGCCTTACCATTTTTCGTTAATAAAAGAATTGCAGCATTTTATGACATATTTGTAAAAGTATGGTTAATTCATTCTTCTAATGTAGGTAAAACAAATGAAGATTAGTAAGTGAAGCCATCCATGATCTGTTTCTGGCCAACTGATGGAAGGTGTTCAGGATGAGCCTGCAGTGCTCAATGGCCTGGATGTGGAGGGAGAGAATAGGTAACTTCCTGACCACGAAGAAAGAACAGAAGGATGTGTGACTGACCTCCTTCTGAATGGAAGGGAGTTCCCTTCAGTAGACAGAAGGAATCAGAATTCACCATTCTACTGTCTGCTTTGAATATGTCCACTTGACCTGTTTAAATTGAATCTCTTGGAAACTGAAAAAAAAAAGGAAATTTTTCAAAGACTACAAATCTGTGTTTAGAAACAGAAAATAGTGAATATTTCATTAGTGCCGAAGTCCTGCAGAAACTGTCACACTTCACTAACTTGGACTTACCTACTAATGTGTCTGTTAATTCAGGCCTAGTTGAAGAAGGGCTTTCCCCCGCTGCCCACGGCTCGGCTCCCTGTGCAGGGGCGCTGGCCTCGTGGGGGCTGCACCCTGTAGTAGGCTTGAGTTCTCCATTTTCCTGGTCAGTTCCCATGAATCATTAGCACCCCTCTCCCTCCCTGCAGCTCAGGTAGGGCAAACGTGGAGTCCTGCAGATTCTTAGGTTTGGTTTTAGAGCTCCCTTCTCTATTTGGGTTATTGAGGTTTTATTAAAAGTTCATCACCATTATCTGGAAGCCAGGGAGTTAGTCACAAATAACTCACAGATCATGTCTCTCCTCTGTTTACCATCCTCCAGATATAACAGCTTTCCTCGGGTTGAAAGTTCCGTTCTCAGACACCCAAGCATCTCAAGGGGCCTCCCATCTTTGGACTGCTGTATTTCTTGTTCTTTTTCTCTGGAATTCTCTCCCCCAGTTTCCCACATGCCCTGACGGTCACTTCCTGCAGGTTTGGCTAAATGGGCAATTTCCAAGTGAGTTTTTCCGTGATCACTATTTAAAAGCTACCCCATCACTGCACAGTCAGTACCCGTCTTTTCTTCTTTCTTTTTCTGCAAAGTGCCTGCCATTACCTCAGTTACCAATGTTTTGTTTAATGTCTTTCTCCTGCATTAGAATGTGAGAATCATAAGGGGAGGCAGTGTTTTCTCTTATGTACTGCTATAAATCTAGACCTATAACAGTGCTTAGTAAATATTTCCTAAAGAAAAGAAAGAGTAGAGCTGAAAACATTCTTTTAACCTGCAGTTTAAGTGCGATTTTTTCGTTTATAAATTTTGGAAAGGAATGTCCCACTGTTAATCCCAACTGAAGAGAATTTTTTTACAATTGTGTTTAATTTAAAAATATTTTTATGAAAAGCTTTCCTTTTTTTGAATAATCCTCTTATGAACACTCTAGCCTTCTCACAACTTGGAAGAGTCTCCCATTTAACTTTTAAGCTGAGTACTTCCTTCAGAGCCAAACATGTTGTATTCATCACAAAATCAAAACTGTATCTTTAATGCACTATATTCAGAATTTTTAGTCATGAATATTAAGAAAAATGGTGAGTTTCTAACTTCAGGTGCTGAAAAGTTCAACCCTGTAGCTTAGTATTGTTAGGGCATTTGCTTAGTCTTTTGCTCATTAATTTTACCATGAAAATTTTATTATTCTCTCTGTGTATATAACAAAACTGTTTCACTTTAAACTATCCTATCTAAAATTTGATATTTGTTTTTTCTTGTTCTTTTATCATATACTGCAATACTCTGATTTCTGAGAAAACTTAGGTTACATTAGTATAGTTGAACTCAAAAAATAATTTATATATATTTAGTTTGACTTTTAGTTTTCATGACCTCAAAAATATTTATTATAGGTTGTCCTTAAAATATAAATAATTATGAGGAAGTGTTGTTATACAACCTGGTGGTCTAAGGGATACCTAGATATGCTTGAGAGACCAGGATAAAAGCCACTGGGGTCCTTGGTGGGGGACTATGTTGAATTCTAGATTTTGAAAATCATATGATATGCATTTGTAAGGAAAAAGCAAATGTCATTTTTGGCCTTATCCTAGGCATACATGTTTAGCACCCAGTTTTTTTTTCTACTTTCACCCAAGTGTTTTGGAAGTCTGGCATACCATTTAAAGCTCAATGCTGATGTATTTCCCCTCTGATAGATTTGAGTTTGAAAAAAGTAACCTTGTACTTTAAGGGCTGTATGTGTCTTAATTTGCTGACTGGGTGTGGCTCACTTCTGATTTTTTTCAGGGGGATGTTTCTGGATACTATACTCCCCTCCCGTGATGACAATGGCATACGTCCAGCAATTGGGCAGCGGACTCACTTAAGCAAAGGAGATATTGCACAGGCAAGAAAGCTGTATAGATGTCCAGGTATTGCACCATGCAGACACGGAATGCCTGATTGCACTCTTCCAGATGAATAAGCCACAATTTGCTCCACTGTTTACTTGTTTCTTTCTATGCTGGCTAGTGACATATTTGGTTCAAAGTCAGTATCATAAAGTGAAACAGGAGAGAACTCTGGGATAGCCACTGGTGTCATTGAAAGCAAACTGCTGGAAATTCAAGTTCCTGCACAGGGATAGTTTGTTTTATTTCTTTTAATTTAATGAGTTAAAGCAAAACTCACGGTGGTTTGGTAGCTGTTACTACATAGTTGCATGATTTCAGTCATGTGCTAAGTTTCCTTGCCAATGTCAAAAGAATACCCTCCCTTATTTTGACTTCAGAATTCAGTCCCGAATGATCTTTTCCTGCAAGTAGCACCATTAGTAGTATATAAATTAAATTTTTATTATTTGGAGTTTAAAACCTTGTTGCAAAAAAAAAAAAAGATCTACACATGTTTCCAGTGAGCTGCTGTATGTTTCCCTGCTGGATAAAAGTTGTGAAAAAGAGATTAATGGAAGGTCTCAATAAGAATGTTCCAGAGGCTTTCCTGTTCCTTATGACTTTACTGGCCCAGGAGGATAAAAGAGTCTGCTTCCAAATTAGAACCTACTGTATACTCAGAGTCCTTTGAAATGCCCTGTAACAAAGGAACATGTTTAACATTGCTTATTTAACACAACTTTTCCCAAATTTTTTGTTTAACATAAAATACATATGTGTTGGTGGTATTTATTTTCTTAAACCCAAATTTTCACAGGGAAGATGAATTCATGAGCAAATGACAGCACTATGACAGAAGACATGGGTGATCCTTGGCTAATTTCCATCAGTATTGGATGTATTATGCTTTTAAACTTTCAAAGTAGAAATTTTGGGAAAGATTGTTTGATTAATTGCAACTAATTAAGCAGACATTCACATATTAAGCCATTTTGATTGTCTAAATATGTATGTATACCCACTATGCTTAAAAAGCCCATTCAATATGCCTTTAAAGTGAATTGTAGGGAGTCAGTCAATAGCCATCAAAAAGTAATCAAATGTATGACACTAATTTAATTTTCAGTCTGTCATTCTAGATATTTAAGCAATTAACAGCAAAGCAATAACTATAGTTTTCACTTGAGATTTTAATTTTGTAAATACATAAATGGGCTATTTTCTTACTTGAAATGGAGTAAGAGTTAACATGGATGTTGCTTTTCCACAAAGTGAAGCCACATTCCGGAAGCTGCATCATCAGTTGGAAACGCCTCAGGTTTCTTTCCAAAGCAGAGTAGCAAATAGTGCTTTCGGCTTATGAATAACATGAAGTAAGGCAGAGCTAAAAGACTGTAACAGTGTGTATTTTAAAATACCGAGCTGTATTGGCTTTAGTCCCACAGTCTTCTAGAACAACGTTTTGCTACCTTGAACTTCTTAATGCCCAAACAACTCCCATATTTCTGTTTTTCTGTCTTTCTCCCTATTTCTCTCTCCTTCTCAGCCACTGTGCATGTGTGTGCGTGCATGCATGTACGTCTGTCTGTCTTGATCTCTCTGAAGCCGTCAGCTTTAAGCTCTGCGTCAGGTTACGTACTTAATGTTCATTTCGTTGTGATGGGGCACTACGGATCTTGGCATAAATATACTAACCACAGCTCAACTAAAGTTAAGCTGCACTGATGCAAGAGGTGCGCCAGTAGCTCCAAGCCCATCAGTGCGTGATGTTACAGATTCCTAACTGGACACAGAAGTCCAAATGAGCTAGCCTGTCTGAGAGCCTAGGAAGAGAGTAAGAGTTTATAAAGTGAGATCTGGTTGTGTCTTGGCTTTGATACAGATGGGGGGGTTGGTGGTAGCCAAATGGCCTACCCCTTTTAAGTTTGTCTCATGGGTTTCTTTTGTTAGAAATTGCTGGTGAGTAGAGCCAATCATGTATCTGTCTACTTTTTACTCCAAGTTTGTATTCTGATCAGTTCATGCTTAGAGCTCTATCAGATCTGCCTTCTCTAAAGCTATTCCTTAGAGTTTAATCCTGAAAGGAGTACTGACGTGGCTCACACTTAGATATGCCAAGCTGTGGCTTTTATGGTCTCTGATCAGTGGGTCCTTGAGTCTGAAAGGGCAAGAAAATAGGCAGATTGCAAATACTGTTGTTTCTCCTTTATTATTGAAGGAAAGATGCTTTTGTCTATCAGAAGATGAAGATCATTAAACATATATATTTTTAATCCATTAAAACAGTATAAGCTGTGATTTTTGTGGAACTATCTAGCTGATAGATAACTTATAAGACATTATATATTTATGTATTTCAATATGCCAAAAATATATATTACATTTTTATGTGAAACTTCAACTACACAATATACAGTTGGTACATGCTCATTACAAAAAAGACGCATACAGAAATAAAGATATTTCCAAGTGATGGAATGAGGGTAACTTTTAGTTTAGAATTGTTCCCGTTGCCATTCTTGCTCTTTTAGAAGCAGGAAAAGCTGCTGGTACATCGTCATGTAAAGAAGGCAGGTAGCCCTGGTCCTGTGCTGACAGGAGGCCCTGTCACAGTGGCCAGACCACACAGGCCCAGAAAAGACAGGGTGAGAAAGGAAGGGAAGGCTCTTCACCCTGGGATGGCATGGGTTCCTGGTTCTCTACCCAAAGGCCAGTCCTGGTCCTTCCAGCTGCTTCCAAGCCCTTCCTGGGACAGGACACTTGCTAAGGCTGCTCTCCCTGCCTGTCACTGTAAGCCAGCAGCCCACACACTGAGCACAGGATGGAGCATGCGCAGTTGGGGAGGGGTTGTTCCATAATTAGCAGTGTGCTTGTGAGTAGACCCTCTGGGTGTATGATACCCTCTGGATGTAGAAGACCCTTTGAGTGTATGAGACCCCCTAGGTATATGACACCCTCTGGGTGTATAGAACCCCTGGGTGTACAAGACCCTCTGGGTGTACAAGACCCCCTGGTACACATACACTCTCTGGGTGTATGAGACCCTCTGGATGTACAGACTCCCTTAGTATACAGACTCCCCTGAGTATACAAGACCCTCTAGGTATATAGATCCCCTGGGTGTACAGACCATCTCCCCATGGGTGTATGAGACCCTCTGGGTGTATGAGACCCTCTGGATGTACAAGACCCTCTGGGTATATGAGAGCCCTCTGTGTGTACGAGACCCTCTGTGTGTACGAGACCCCCTAGGTATATGACACCCTCTGGGTGTAAAGACCCCCTGGGTATACAAGACCCTCTGGGTGTATGAGACCCCCTAGGTACACAAGACCTGGGTATATGAGAGCCCTCTGTGTGTACGAGACCCTCTGGGTGTACAGATCCTCTGGGTGTACAGACCCCCTGGGTATAGAAGACCCCTGGGTGTATGAGAGGCTCTCAGTGTATGAGCTGCAGTGTATCTGCCTCTCTTTGTAAATTATTGCTCCCTTGTCCTTTTTTCGGTGACCTTCTTTTTCCTGAGATTCTCACTTTTAAATGCTTTCCCCTCTGCTTTGATCTAATCCCAAGATTTCCATTGCTTCCCCCTTATTGCCACACTGCTCAACTGAATATGTCTCCTGGTGGGGTCCCTGGTTATTGCTGACATTTTCTCTTGATTTAGTTTTTCTGTAGTCTCATGAACTTTTTGCTTAAAAGTACTTGGTACTTACAGTGACAATCAACCCTAATATTCTCTCAGTAAATCTTTCTTAATTAAAAATGCTATGTAATATAATAAAATTAGGAAAAGATGAAAATATGGGAAAAAATGAGACATACAATCTATGTTCAGAAATTTAAAAGTGCTCTTAGTCATGGTGCACATGCAGGACATATGCACACATCCTGTCCGTGGCTGCACATCTGTGGGTGTTGCAGGGTGGGAAGCATTTCAGTGTGCATGGAGTCCAAACACTAGAGTGATACATTTCTTTAAATACTTGTTTCATTACATTTATCTTTCAAATTGATGTAGGATTCTTTTTAGTTACTTAAGTATTAATCTCTTGATTCCTAATACAATTCTCTGAGATTACGGATAGAATAACCTTTCTCTATATGCTTCCATATATACAATTCTTGGCTGAAATATATGCCAACATGCAAAAAAACTAATTTAGCCGTCTTTTTCCACCTTTCTCCTGGGCCCACTTACTCCCTCCCCATAAACATCCACACATAGATGGGGCTGCACACAGGACACCCGGGCCTGACCTCTCCCACTTCCCACAGCAGGACAGCCTGGCAGCCTCCGTGGTGTGTCCTGATCCAGGGGTCCTGCTCTTTTGTCCGGATGCCAGAATGCCTCCTAATTAGCCTCTTGCCTCCATTCTTAAATCCCTTTAGTTCTCTGGCCACACTGCAATTCAAGTGATTTTTTTTTAATTGGACTATAGTGGTTGTACTATATTATATTCACTTCAGGTGTACAACATAGCGATGCAACAATTTTATACCAAATGTTGGTCAGGATCAGTGTCGTGTTCAGACAGCTTTTTAAGATGCAAATCTTAATCTGTTTACTTGCAGGATAAAGGCTAATTGCCTTTTCAATGACTCCTCCAGGATTTTCCCATCTCTCCCCTTGGCCTCTGTCTAGGTTTTCCCCGCCGCCTAGCTTCTCATCACTACCTCCAGCGGCTCGGCCCCAGCTGGAGACCAGCAGGCACACTCCCAGCCTCCTGGTTTCATCCTAGCTCACATAAGGGCCCAGTTCCTCTCAGCACCAGCCTCTCAAGAACCCCGTGGTAGTGAGCGCCTTATTTCATCCTGGTCTTTGTGTCTTACTCCTGTAGTCACTGGAGTAATAGATTCTTGGGTTTGGTGTGGGTTTTTTTCCTCACGTCCTCTGCATCTGATGTGAATGAGGTGTGCCCAGGGAACACTGGCTGTGTGAACGGTTGGATCCACTTGAGCATGTGGAAGTTGCACCGGGCGCTAAGGGCCACAGAGAGGGAAGGACTGCTTGTCTACCTGGGGTCATATGGACAGAT